TTACATAAATTTTAAATAATTCAAAAGCTACTACTCTTTTCAGAAAGAAAACAGAAATGGCTGTATCTTCATTCAACAGATTAAGTAGAACCTAGTCTGTTAAAACTAAGATATTTGAAAACTGATTCAGGAACTGAGTCATACTTCCTGCTTTAAGACCCAACCACAACGTGCACACACTGGTGTAATAGCATTTTCTTTCTTCCATAAATGGCTCTCCCCAGAGCAAATATAGTTCAACAGGAACCAAACCTGCTACTTTAGCTATTGAAAGAAGCCAGTGAAAAAGGCACAGCCATCAAGAGTTTCATAATGTCTGGACATCCCTTCTTATTTCCTCTAAAGTAGTTATAAGGAAGAAGAGACATTTAGAGAGGCAAACTCTAAAAAACACTAAATTAAAAATTTAAAGCAAAGTTATTTGTACCTAAACTTCTAGAATGAGAAACTAAGATTACAGAATTTAGACAAGCCAGAAGTTATATATCTGCCTCGATAATGTTACAAAAATAGAACAGAACCTGTCTCATTCTTGCAACAGCTATTTTTGTACTGGTCAAGGAAAAGTATTCTTTGCTATGTTTTCAGAGAATTCAAGCTGTTTTTGTTTCCACTGTTTTATAAAATCCTGGTAGTATGTATAATTTGAAAAACGGCAAATCCTTTTAAGATTTTGATAAAGTTATTAAGCTTTCGTTAGAGAACATCTTTATTCTTCAAGATAAAAAGCAAGCAGGCAAAGAGCCAAAACCTTTTCTGGGAAACACTTCTTCACATCATTACGGGAATCGAGTCAAGAGCCCCTAGTTAGGCGAGCAAGCTGTTCGGAGTGGCCTGTGCCAGCGGGGGTCATTTAGTGCCACGGATCTCCTGTGAGTGGCAAGCTGCCAATAAAAGGTGAGGAGGAAATAAGAGTTCTAAGGAAAATGATGTGGAACTTACCTCATCAGCACCATGTGCCTGAAGTTCCTTGTAGAATTTCAAAGAAATACTGACCATCACTTTTGTTTTGTCTCCATTAGGATTTGAAATATGATAGAGGACCCCATCGAAATCTGTAAGGAAAGCAAATAAGACTGCTGAACTTGGGAATGGGGAATGATATCTCAAAGCACCTACCTTGCTGTAGGCCACAAGAAAGACCCATTATAAGAAAGCATATAAGTAAAATGGCACTTATTTTAAATCCACATGGGAAGTCAGCAGAAATACTGAGAAAGAATTGGATACCCATCTCTTTGCTCTTTATTAAAATCATAAATTTTTTTTTTTTTTTTAGT